GACCAGAGAGAGGAAGGAGCAAACAAGGCCAGCCAGGACACAGGCGCTCACCCTCCGGGCTTCACTCTGATATTTGACAGCCTTTTTGGTATCGGCCACAGCCCGCTCCACGAAGCCCACTGACTGGTCCATGTTGTTCTCAATCCGGTCGATCATGGCTCCCTTTCCCCAGATGCAAGAGGAGGCGGCGGCAGCAGCAACAGAGAAGCAGTGGGGACGAGAGAGAGCGAGAGAAGCGGAGAGCAGAATGGACTCCCTTCTCAGAGGGCAGGGACGACTCTCACCTTGCGGGCCTGACTCTTGTACTTCACGGCTTTTTTAGTCTCATCCCGAGCCTTCTCTACGTGGTCCACCGTGTGCATGACATTCAACTCTATGTTGTCTAACATCTCACCCTGCAAAGAACAGACACCGGTCACTGACAACAGAGTCCACCCTCCACGTGGTCTTAGCCTCTGTGGGGAGGGGATTTTCTCTCTTAGAACCTTCAGGAGAGCTTGAAGACCGGCCGACTAGCAGCAGCCCCCCAGGGCACACGCCCATCTCTCCTGGGTGGTTACCACAGCTCCCCAGCCCTTGGTGGTGGTCTCGAACTCAGGAACCCTTCACTGAATTCCTTCTCTGGGACAGACAGACACTGTGCTGGGCGACTGGAGCCTACTGTCCAGATGCCTGAAACTGCATACATATCCATATACATGGATAGAGACCCAGTTTGCAAGTCTGTCTTGGAAGAAGGACAGCCAGAATGCTCCCCAGAGTTCAGGATGGTGACATTCGTCTTACATACTTTGGAGATGTTGTCAGGAAAGACCAGTCCCTGGGGAAGGAAGGATGTCGTGCTTGGCAGAGTAGAGGGGCAGCGAATAAGAGGAAGACCCTCAGTAAATGCTGCTACAATGGGCTCCAACATAAGTACAGGTGTGCAGCTGGTGCAGGGCTGGGCGGTGTTTCTGTACACAACCCTGTGCACACTCGGTTGTACGCAGGGTTGCTCTGAGTTGGAACTGGCTCGCTGGCCGCTAACAACTATATATTACATTGTTCGCAGGTGCCATCAAACCAGCTCCAACCCAGAGCCCCCCCTCTGCATAAAATGATTTTGGGACATCCCAAATGCCCCTACATTTTGTTAACTTGTGCCTGCGGAAAGGCACTACAATAAGAAAATCTTATGTTCTTAAGGTATCACCAGGGTGCTGGCCTCGTCCTGGCCAACCAGACATGGAACCAGTTCTGAATGGATTCTGTTCGCTACTGTAGAACAGGGCCTGGCACGTAGTAGCAAAAGTCAGTTACCATCATGTCCGTTTGACCCCGGTGACCCGACCAGCAGTCCTTCTGAGGAGCCTCTGGCTGGGTCTCAGCCACCAACCGTGCAATGAACAGTTGAGCGCTAGACCATCTGCATCACCCAGAGACCCCTGGCACACAGTGGGAGCTCACACTCCCTGAGGGTGGGACCTTCTGCATTCCCCAAGTGACATTCCCAGGGCACCAAAGGTGGGTTTCATTCAAGCCGTTTATTTCGGCATACCTTCCCCTCTAAACAGTGGCTTCTTCGTTCAAACACCAACCAATTCCCACCCGTTCCACTAATTCCTGGACATTTTAGGGTGGGAATTCCCTCCCACCTGCCTAGATCTTCGTCCACCCACCCCCACCATTCTGTGGCAGTCTGTAAACAGTGAAAGGCACTTACCCACCATCACCTGGATCTCAAACAAGTTCCTCGGTAAAGCAGTGTGGGGGGAAAAGAAGAGTGGGGATGGAGGGGCTTGAGAAATGTTCTGAAAGGTCACGTGTAGAAGGGGGTGGGGTGGGGGCGGGGCTGAAGGGGCAACAGTGGGGACCTAGTCGAGAAATAAGCAGCGACCAGACAGGCAGTGCTCGGGCCTCAATTAGATCTTGTGAACAACGAAGCAATTCTCTTCCATTTCCCACCCTATTCCGGTGCTTCAGCAACTGACATGCCCGACACCAGGAACCTTTGCCATTTTCAACTAGATTATCTGATTATGTGAAACAAGCAAGCCAGGTTTGAGCCATCCCTGAGCACGTGTGCCCAAGGACAAGCTGCCATGTGTGTCTCAAGGATAGTCTGCGCGTCCTTCATTGGTGTTGTTGCCTGCTCCTGTTTCTTAGCACGAGAGGGTAAACATCTCTAGAGAAGCACAATCAAGAGAAATGCAAAGAGAGAAGGAAAACCTCTGTTAAATTGGGCTTTTCCTGGGAACTGGGAGAAAGCCATCTGTCTTTTCAGTGTCTGCAGTGGAAGGGCTCACTGTCTTAAGACAGCATCATTCCAAACCATAACCCACTGTCACTGAGCCGGTTCCACCTCAGATCAACACAGCTGCTCCGTAAAGGTTTCCAAGATTATACAGCTTTACGAGAGCAGACAGCCTCGTCTTTCTCACATGCAGTGACTGGTGGGTTTGAACCACCGACCTTGTGGCCAGCAGCCCAACACTGAACCCACAGCACCACAGGAACTCGTACTCAGAGCCATATCACTCATACCAAAAAAATAAAATAACAGAAATTCCAAGCCCACAGGGAACTAGAAACTTGATAGAGCTCATCAGACCCCATAAAACTGTGAAGCCAAAATGCCAGGCAGGACCAGCAGGACTGATGACCCAGGGTAAGGGGGATGTTAGGATTTGATAAGAGTGTACTCCTCTCACTGGGATCTTGGGGTTCCCTTACCCTATATATTATGCAGATCCCAAACCACCACCCTGCCCCCCAGTATTCCCAGTTCTCGGCCCCCGGCTCCTGGCTGTCCTCAGGAGGGCCTGGGCTCTCCTCACTTCCCTTCCCCCACGGGGCCCAGCGCCACGGTTACCTGGTTCTCCACCAGCATGGCGATGTCCATGAACATGTCGTGAAGCTCCTTGATGCTGCTCTCCAGCCGCACGATGTCCTTGTGCCGCCCCTCGATCTCGCTGAGGGCTTGCTTGGAAATCTGGGAGTCAATGATCTGCCACGGGCACACACCCGGGGCCATCAGCCACCTGGCACTGAGGGCCGTGCCGCTGCTGCAGTCCTCGCCCACTCCCTCCCTGCCCCTCTCCCCTGCCAACACCACGGGCAGCCCCACGGAAGCCTTCCTTCCCTGGGACAGGAGCCTCTCCTCTAGCCCTGAAGCGACTCACCCCAGAAGTGAAGATGGCGGGGTTCCCACTCTCCAACATCTCCTCCAGCTCCTCGTCGGTGGTCTTCTTGCCGGCTTAACCATACACACAAAACAAGCAGGGGGTCAACTGCATGATCAATGCACTCTGTTTCAAAAGTTCCCTAGAGATTAGGAATGCATACAGTGCTGCATTGTCCTTATTGTGTCCTTGGGAGCCATGGTGGCCTATTAATATTAAGGTTGGTGGTTCGAAACCCACCAGTCAGTCCTTGTGAGAAAGATGAGGCTGTCTGCCCCATCAGGATTTACAGCCCTGGAAACCCCAGGGAGTAGTTATTCTCAGCCCTCTAGGGTTGCTATGAATCAGAATTGACTCAATGACAGTGGACTAGTTGGCCTTTGCTTTTGAATTGGGGGGAGGTGGGGAGGTTTGACCTTAGAAGACTGCCTAAATGATTAAGGTACACCTTAATGATTGACTACACCTGAGAATTGGTGGGGCACTGGGCTAGCTAGGAAGCCCACCTGGTGGCTGGCAATGACCACGTGAACTGACTGCTCACAGCCATTCCACTGGGGCCCCGGAGAGGAATATTCTCAGTACCAGATTACCCAGTAAGCAAACGCTGGCTTGTGCTTACTTTCTCATCTATAATCAACAAGTTCACAAGTTTTCACCACATTCACACTTCTGCTTCTGGGTCTGGCCGGCATCTGTCTATCTCTCCCCTAGCCGCACAGCACCTTCCTAAGGCTCTTTTCAAATGTCCAGTCTCTGAGAGTAAGCAAGGTCAGCTTGGGCTGACGTGTGCCTACTTACTCATCCATAGTGAATGGACAGTAGGAACAGGTGAAACCTACGTGAAATGCTTCCCGACAGGTTAGCAAGTAAGTACAAATCAGCCCATGCCCACCTTGCTTGTTGGATACTCTGCCCCGACGTGTTCTCCCTGGGAAAACGGAGGTTCACCTCTGGGGCTCTTCCACATAGTGCCCATGTGTCTCTTCTGGAGGCCGATGCCCTTTCTTTCCTAATCTGTATTCCTGTCCTTCCGCCACACACCTGAAGCACAGCCAGGAGCTCGGTGAGCCACTAACAAACCCATCAGAGGAAGGAGGGGGAGGGCGCCTGGTGTCAGAGTTCATGGAGAAGTGGCAAAGTGGAGAATGGATTAATCTCCACATCTTGGGGCTTGGACTCCTCGTGGTCCTAATCAGGGTTGATGACTTCACTATAAAAAGCATGGTCTCGTGTTGAAGGGAACAGGCAGCAGACACCAAAGAACAAAAACCATCATTGTGTGACCACCTTCCACACACAGCGGCCATCTAGCCCAGAAGCAACAAAGCCCACATGGAAGCAGCACACATGTGTGATCATGAAGGGCCAAAGGGACCAGGCGTTAAACACCAAAGG